ACAAACTATCCCAATTAAAGCTAAAAAATATTGTATCAATTATAGTTTGACCCCTTGTTTAATTTTTTAGTTTTATTTTAATAGATAGTATAATTATATATTAACTATGATTTTTTTTAAAACTAGATTTTTATTTTATTTTATTTCAATAAATGACATAATATAACATGAATTTTGGATGTAAAATTCATGTTCTATTTTAAATGACTTAGACCACTTGTTTGATATTTTAGTTTTATTCCAATAGATAGTATAATTATATATTAATTATGGTTTTTTAAGAAAACATAAATTTTAAATTTTAATTTTATTTCAATAAATTATACAATAAAACATGAATTTTGATTGTAAATTTTAAAATATTTGATATTCAAAATTAGATTGAAGTAATTTTAGTCTAAGTATAATATTTTAAAGGGTTAATTGCACTAGAGGTCCCCAAAGTATGAAATTTTTCTCATTTTAGTCTCTAATGTTTGAATTGCATCATTTTGGTCTCTAAATAATTAAATATATTTCTATATGGTCTCTTAAGCAGACAACGTCCGGATTGTTAACAATTTTTTATCATAAATTTGTCACGTAATACTCAAATATGGAAAAAAAATTTATTTAGATAACTCTTGATCAAATTTCTATTCAAATTTTGTTAAATAGCTATCTAAATTACACAATTTTGATCATGAGTTATCCAAATTTTGGTCAAAAATTATTCATATTACACATTTTTTTGTCAAGAGGTACCTAAATTTTATTTAAGAGCTATTACAATTATTTTTTTGTCTATATTTATGTATTATGTGACAAGTTTATGATAAAAAATTGTTAGCAATCTGGACGTTGTCTGCTTAAGGAACCATTTAGAAACATATTTAATACTTCAGGGACTAAAATAATGTAATTGAAACATTGAGGACTAAAATGAGACAAACTCTATATTTTGGAGACCTTTAGTACAATTAACCTCTATTTTAAACTTAAGAAGTCTAAGTATGATATACATACAAATTTCAGGGAGTCTAAATATAATATATTAACATAAATATTTACAGTAGTCTAATTGTTATACGCCTACAAATTTTAGGAAATTTTTGTGTAATATTTTAAATGTCAAGGCAACTGAGTGATTAAATAACAAATCTCAGAAATTATGGTGTAATTTTTCCTAATTTTTTATGTCCACGATTGATGTTCAATTTTTTTGAATTATACCGTACTTTCAGTCACAGTTTATCGTTAGTTTTATTTTATATTATAAGAAATATAAAAAAAATTAATAAAAAAAAATGAGAATATTAATCTTTTAAAATATAAATTTAAAATTTGAAAATATTTCAGTTGGCAAAATTCAAAATTCTATGAAAATATCTTCAGATAAACTCAACTTCATCAACTGTGATTCTGTGAAGTGAAAACAAGGGTAGACTTCTTTTTTCAAGCCAATCTCGGATGGCACTAACCGACCACGTCGAAATCTCAACTGAAACTCCATCACATTACGACCGATTACAAGACCTCAATGCTTTTGATTCATCAAAAGCCGGAGTTGAAGGCCTCGTCGACACCGGAATTTCAAGAATTCCCTGAATGTTTATCCGCCCCTCCGACGAACTTGTCATTGACCACCAAATCTGTGACACCCACTTCACGATTCCGGTTATAAACTTTTTCGGCGGTCAAAACGCAGTGGTTGAAAAGGTCCGGCGAGCATCGGAGACTGTAGGGTTCTTCCAGGTGGTCAATCATGGAATACCTAATTGGGTATTGGAGGAGATGTTGAGGAAGGTCCGGGGATTCCACGAGCTGCCGAGAGAGGTGAAAGAGGTGTACTACACTCGTGAGCCTGAGAAGAGAGTGAAGTTTAGGAGAAATTGTGATTTTGGAGGGATACTCTGTACATGGGTCCTGAGCCTTTTGACACACTAGAGCTTCCTTGAGGTCTGCAAGTATTATTTGCAAAATCTCTCTCTCCCTCTAGACAGCAAACTTTTTGAGATGACAGATTCTTGAATACATGTGATTGTTGATGCAGTGTTAAATTTGAAATCTTCTAATTCCTTTTTTTTTGAGTTTAGAGTAAAAAGCTTTATTTGGTATAAAATGCCCTAAATAATAGACAAACTCAATTATCTACTCAAATCTTTTAAAAAATTCTCTTATTGTCCAAAAACTCGATTTTATGTCATTCAAATCATAAAATCTAATAAAATAAATGAAATTTTCGTATTTTAAAATTGAATATTGATACAACAGTACCACTTGAGAATAAAAAGAAACAGAAAAAAAACCCACTCAAGAATTCTCAGATCGTTCTAATCTCTTATATTTTTATGTAAATTTAGATAAAAAAGAAAGAGAAAAAAAAAAAGCAATTACTTTGGCATAGGTTTGGTACAAAAAATGGATATTTAAAGAAACAAATTAATAATTTCCTAAATTTGTGAGTAGTAAAGACTTAAAATTTCACAAAGAATTAGTGGCATAAAATTGCACTATCAACACTGTTTAACTCAAAAAAATTAAAGAAGAATTTGATAGGTAGGCTTAAGATTTATATAGTATGAAAGATGGGTGAGATTAAAGTATTGAAAAGTAGAAAAAAATCAAGAAAATGAAAAGGAAGAAGTTTATTTATCTTTAAAGGATCTGTGAATACTTTGGTGGTGGCGACGATGGAACGTAGAAAAGAGAGGCAAGAAGAGGTAAATAACAAGTTATGGAAGAAATCTTTTAATTTTGGATAAGGTAAAAAATTACGGTTGAAAATTTGGTATAAAATTTAAGTTTCCCTCAATTTGGGTTCAGAATAAGTTTTTTCTTGATTTGGTATAAGTTTGAGTTCAAGGTTGGAGAACGTTTTTAGACTATTTAGACTCAAATTTAAATTAGAGTCTAAATTAGAGTCAGGGTTGTAGATACTCTAATCAAATAGAAATAGAATTAAAATGTCCAAATATATCAAGGATAGGTGTATTAGAGATATGATAGAAAATGTAGAGAGAACAGTGTTTGGTGACATTTGACTTTAAACTAGTTGCCTTTGATTTATTCAATAATTAAAAGTAATGCCATTGAATTCTCACCCTATAAATATAAATATGGGTGATTCTCTTGTCTCAAGGTACCCACAATCACAATGTAACTCAGAGTGTCAATAAAGGGAAAACCCTCTTAGGGGCTGTTTGGTTGGTTTTTTGGGATGGGTTTAAATCTGCTTGTCCAAACTCTTCCAAACTCAAAGATGAGATTCATCATTCAATGTCATCCATACCCATGTTTAGTATGCGCACAGGTATATGATTGTTATAATAATATATTTGTATATAAATGACTATTATGTCCCTTAACCAATTTAATCCAAATTCATATTTGTTTACGTACATGGGATATATAGGGGTATAAATGTCATTTCATTTGTATGTTCAACCCTTTAACCCACATATAAACTCTCCCCCCTCACCCCCCCCAAAAAAAAAAAAAACCAGGTTTCATGAAACCCATGAACTTGGATTTTATTTTTGGGCCTAAAGTGGGCTAGGTTTCAAACCCCGAGTTAGCTATGTATTTGCCAAACATGGTTTTGATGGGGTTTGTTCCCCAACCCATGTTCCCAAACCCACATACCAAACAGGCCTTAGGGTATTGTGTTTGTCGATGTAGGGCCTGAATAGGCTGAACCACATAAGTCGTTGTGTCCCTACTCTTCTCCCATTTTATATGTACCAGTTCTCCCTATCCAAAATTTAACATGGTATCAAAGCAAAATTTGACATAGTATAAGAATTATTTTAATCAAAATAATTCCAATAAGTGGTATTAGTTAGAGGTGATAAATGGGCGGGTTGGGTTGGTTATGAGCTAGTTTTAATTCGTTTTTAACCCACTTAATAAACGGGTTATAATGAGTTGGATCATAACGGGTTGAGTTCAACCCATTAACCCGTAAAATAATTAAAACTCTTAATATAAACACATACTTAATACACCAAATAAAACACATGTTAATACACAAAAATACACAATAATACACCAAAAGTACACACATACATATATTACCACACAAAAATACATAGCATTTAATAAAATACTAAAATATGTACACACATACTATTCACCAAAATACGCACACATACGTTAAAACATCAAAATATACACACCTACACACGGTCAAGTTTGGGGTCGGGTTGGCAGCTGGGGTCGAGGTCGGGTCCGAGTAGGGGTGTGTGTGTTTTGATGTACTAGTGTGTGCGTGTGCGTGTGTTTTTGTTGTGCATTAGTATATATGTGTGTATTTTCGAGTGTATTAGTGTGTGTATGTTTTGGTGTACTAGTGTATGTGTATATTTTTTGGTAAACCAGTGTGTGTGTGTATTTTAGTGTATATTTGATATTATTGCTTTTGTTATTTAATAAAAAGATAAATACTCAACCCAATGTGTAACTATTTATAATTCATCTTAACCCATTTAATTAAAATGAGTCTTATTACCCAACCCATTTAGAATCCGCATTAATTAAAATAGGTACTTAACTCATTTCTTTATGGACTCGGTTAAGATTGTCACCTCTAGTATTAGTGTTAATTAATTGCTGAGCAAAACTAACATTGGGAATTCCTAGTGATGGTAGGGCTGTTTTTTGCTGATGTTCTTTTTTTGTCTATTTTGTTGGTGCTGATATTCGACATGTCCTAAAAGTACTTTACTTTTCTATCGTAATTGCTTGAAAATGCTAAATTTCTCTATATTGGAATTTGAAGTCCAGATAAATTCCACATTTACGCAAAATCTAGATTTGAGTGATATATAGGTTGTGGACTTCCAAATCATAATATTGTGCTTTGTGTTTATGTTTTATGATAATGTTTTTACATTAGAATCAAATACACATTGCGCACTAGAGGAGAGAATCAAATTAGGATTCATCATGGGGTTTTTTTTTTTTGGGGTGGGTGGGTTGTATCTTTTTTGTTTTCTGTGGATATAGGTACCCTTTTGACGTTAGAGATGTATTTTGTAAGGAAATTGATTTTGTAATTGACTACTTCAGTAAGGTCATATGTAATATCTCAATTAAATTTATAGTAATGACACTATCAAGTTGAAGACTGAAGCAAAGAAGAAAGATGAAGTTCAAGCTACAAAGTCATATTCAAAAATTTCCCAGAATCCTTTGAAGCTTATGTAAAAATAATGACCTAGAGACCTTAGTTGCCTTGGTTTTTACTTTGGTTTGCTCAGGATATTAGTAATTGGACTTAAATTGTTTGGTACATGACTCTTGCTCCTTTTATTGAGAAAGCTTTTTGAAATTTAATGTTCTTTTGAAAACCCTAATTCAGTCATGAAACGGGTTCTTATTGAGCAACGCCTGTTAGTGCTCAAGAGAGCAAGTTTTTGTTGCATTTTTAACTGAAAAACCAATAGGAACCGCTGAAAGCTTGTTGGCCTACGACTCGAGTGGTCTCTGAACACTTGGGGAGAAAATTAGAGAAACGTTAGAATCTGGATAGTAGCCACTGCTGGTTGACGACTTGAGCGGTCTGCCAGACGACTTGAGCGGTAGCTCGACCAGTCTCTGTTCTAGAGGTTTGCCCAATGACTGCCAGCCAACAATTCGAAAGGTGTCTTGCAAATTTAAGTCTTCTTGTGTCTTAATTATTCTCTATTTTTAGACCTATAAATAAAGGATGATCTTTTCTCGCTAGGTAAGCCTTGATGAGCATTATAAGCCTAAAAATATTGTCACCTATAATTCTAAAGAGTTCAGCACAAACTAGTATCCCTAGGCAACGTAAGACAAAATTTACAAGGTCGATCTTGTTTTATACCTTCAATCTTGAAGATTAGAGAGATCAAGTAGAAATTCACCAAACTCACAGTTTGAAAGAGTTGACAAATTTTCTATGAAACTGTAGAGAAATAACTATCGAGTACTCAAATCAAATGAAGAGATTGGGAACTACTTTGTTTGGATTGTTGTCGGAGGCACTTGAGCTCAAACCTGACCACCTCATTGGCATGGATTGTGCTAAGGGCCATGCAATTCTGTGTAACTACTACCCAGCATGTCCAGACCCTGATCTTACTATGGGCACTAGCAAACATTCTGATCCTGATTTTTTGACAATCCCACTTCAAGACGATATTGGTGGAATCCAAGTACTTCATCGAATGCAATGGGTCAATGTTCCTCCTGTGTCTGGAGCTTTAGTGATAAACGTCGGCGATCTCTTACAGGTATGTTCTCGATAAATTCATTCTGATTTTTTTCTAGTTTCTATTTGATCTACAATCCATATTTACTGTCTAAGTCAAACTTTCAGTGCCCTATCTATCATCGTCACTAAACTAATTTCAAAGCAAGTTCATCTTTACTGCATTTCTGTTGCGGAGTCAATCTTTTTTATCCGGCTTCTTCATTTTACATTGACATGCCTTGTGGGAATTAACTCAATAAGCAACCATTCCACTGCACCATCCTTGATAGCATATCCATTAAAATCATTAGAAAATCTAACATGGAAATATCATCAAAATCAAGGGGTGGTGATGGAGAATATTATCATATGATATTTTGTAAGCTTGCAACGAGGCCAGTTCATAGATGTCGGGAATAAGGACTGGTTGGTAAAATGTTTGGCGTCTTTTCCTCTAAGCTAAGAAATTTGAATATCCTGTTTTTTATACTGTCTTAAGATGATAATGTCTATTGATTCCGAAGGCAAATCTTCTGGATAACATTCCACTATATCTTAAATTGTCCTTAAATACATCACACTGCAAGAAAAAAGACTTTTACCGGCGTTTATTAAACGCCGCTAAATATTATTATTGACGTTTGTTCTTAACGCCGTCGAAACCTCTGTCGGCAAAACTACCGGCGTATAACTAAATGCCACAAAAACTAAAGTGACGTTTACTAAAGGCTAAAGTGACGTTTATTTAATCGACGACTTCATTGTAAAATTTTGGTTACCGGAATTATTTTACGGCGTTTATTTAAACGCCAGTAATTATTATTTCTGACCAACTGATTTTCGGCGTTTAAATAAATGCAGGTAATTTTTTTTTTTTAAAAGGAAATTTTATTTATTTATAAAACAGAGAAATTACAAGAAGCAACCAAAATAGCCTGATCCACAAGCCATACTGCATAATCAACTTCATTCAATATTTCAAAAAGCATTTACAAGATAGAAAAGGCAGACAGACCCCTGCCTATTCAAAACACGCTCCAGTCAACAATGAAGAAAAACAGAGAAATTCTGCCTTTTTTTTTAACAAAAAAACTTTTATTTATTCACAATAGCCAAAACAATTACAAGAAGCAACAGCACAGGCATAAACGCCTAAACAAGACCCAATAAGGCACAAACACCTTAGCAGGGAGACCCAATTGATCCTTATGCAAACCAAGACCAACCTCAGAAGGTAACCTCAATCCTACTAAGAAGTCCACAGTCCTCTGCCTTGAAACAGCATAGGCAGCAAGTCTATCAGCCACACCATCAACTTCACGAAACACATGTATCAATTGATATTTCACATTCTTCAACAAATCTCTAATCTGCCTCAAATAATCAAAACAAATCCAAGGACAGGAACAAACTCCCATTACAGCCTTCACAAGAAACATCGAGTCACATTCAATTAAAAAATCATAACAGAATAATCCATACTGTGCAACCAACAACAAAACATCACATAGAGCACGAAATTCTGCCTTGACCAAACTTGACAAAAGGACAGTAAAATTCCTCATAACAAACAGCCTGATATCCAGTACAGCAATCAGTCAGGCTTACAATGAAGAAAAACAGGGAAATTCTGCCCTAACAAAACAAAACCTCAACATAAAGAGAAGCCAAAAAACTTGACAAAAGGACAGCAAAATTTCTCATAACAAACAGCCTGATATCCAGTACAGCAACCAGCAATCTTCACTCACTTCATCAGCAAATAAACTACTCCCAAGACACAATTTTGCTTGCTCATGATATCATGCATTAAGATCCTAATTTCTAATAGTTCAGTCAAATTATAGCATAGCACGTCAAGATCACAAGAAATAAGAGGCTTATAAGCATCAAAGTCACTCTTATTCACTATTTTTAAATAGTATGAACTTAATGAAGCAGAGAGAAGAAGATTAGCCAACCTTCGTTTTTGCCTGCAACTTATCCACAAACACAACATACTGCTTCAATGTGTAATCTTTCGAATTACCTAGACCCACCATTGCCTATTTACCAACTATGGACAGATCCATGGCATAGAAGAGGGAGAGTCACTTGGGTGGGAATTTCGCTGCATTGTTATTAACATGATGCAATTTCGCTCTCTTTTGTCGATGAACCTAACATTTAATATAAATTAACACATGAATTATACATAAAACAATAAAATGAACATATTTGTATTTCCAATAACACAAATTCAATACAAATAGAAAACCCAACAAGCACAAAAAATCTATCAAACTCAAACCAAACATAAAACCAACAAGCAAAGATATTTAACTAACAAGAAAAGATACTAGTCAACAAACTCATGTAATATTTTCTTATCCCATGTCTATACCATTGAGACTTATCCGTCTTGTTTCCTGGTCAATACCTTGTACTCTGCCATGTAGGCTATGATTATCTTAACCATAAACCATTATCTCGAGTCTCAACCATTACACTATGACTCCAATACAATCTCAATGGGAGCAATCCGTTCTACATTCCATTTTTAGCTAACATGCCTGAGATATGAATGCCAACAGCTTAAATATTCTTGATTTAAGTACAGGTTATATATCAATTGGCCCTAATCTAACTACTGATGCTACAACATTCCCTCATCATACATACACACTATATTAACTGAATGAGGCTATGCAGCAGGCCTTTGCAGCTACAAATGGAAAGCATTTAACTATCAAACCTTCAAAGTCCAAAATTCTTATGCAAGAACAACGGACACATCCAAATACATAACACTAATATGTTTCAATTACTGTGATGCATGAACGTTTCGTGAAGGATAAGAAAAGAAAAAGCACTATAGGCCACACAATTATCTCCGGACCGACATTTTTATTGATGTAATTTTGTTGATGGTTTTGCTAAGATTGGAACTGGATATTTGTTACATTAATATTGGTGCTTGGAGGTTCTTAAATGTGATATCTTTTCGTTGATCCAGGTGGTTGTCGCTCTTTCACATGCTGCAATCTTAGAAGAGTCAATGAGGGCCAGGGATCTTTTAATGCAGCAGAATTTTGCACTTGATCAGGATAGAAAAGAATCTGAAACTGCTGTTCGAGCTCGCAATGATTTCCTGGATGTTATGAACCATGAGATGAGAACTCCTATGCATGAGAACACCTCATAATAATTCAAGAATGAATGAATTACAACTGATCTAGCTATTTCAGCAGAACAAAATTATGGCAATATCTAAAATTAGATAAAAATAGATAGAGTAAGACATATCATACCACTCACCCACAACGATGGTTAAACCCAAGTGACACAATGCTCATAAATGCTACAGTGCCTGTCCCTGTAGCAATTGAAAGTTTGAATGGTCAAATAAGCATTTATTGAATAAGAGAAGTATGAAGATGTTAGCAACAACAATTACATTCATGTACTATAAAAGAAAACACATCGAGACAGAGCTCGAATATTGCTGTGGAAAGAAACACATGAATCAACATTCCTGAAAAGCTTTAACAACCAGTACTAGGTTACATAATATACTCCTCAAAATGATCTCAACTAGGAAATGCTACTTTTACAACAAATTGCGTTGGTAATTTATCGAACACGTGGTATGCAGTGACCAGGAGAAAGGAGAAAGGGAAAAGGGGGCTACGGGGTGAGTCTACAGTGATGGAGAATGAGCGAGTGTGAGGGGGAACGAGAGAGAGAAAGAGATCTGTTACAGATCAATCACAGGTATGTTACTCCGAAAATACGCAAAATAGCAATTAGAGAGAGAGAGAGAGAGAGAGAGAGAGAGAGAGAGTACGTTGAAGTCACCGAATCCAAACTTGCTTATAATGCCGTAGCTAAAGTCGCCAGAGAGAGGGACGACGAGGAATCGGGTTCTGAGAATTGCCAACGATGAGTAGTTGCAGAGGGTCGTGGCCAGAGAAGTCGAGAGAATTGGGAAAAAATTTAGGTTTACGTTGGGGAGGAAAAAAAAAATTTATTATTTTTAATTAAGTATTTGTGGCGTTAGATATAAAGGCCGGAAATTAAGCGGAAAAAAAATATTTTAATTATTTTTATTAATAAGTACTGGCGTGTATAAATAAACGCCAGTTTTAGTGACGTTTGAATTAAACGCCGACAATTAAATGTCAAATTTTTTCATATTTCTTGTAGTGTCTTATTGTTTCTGTTTGCTCTCAGCTTATATCTAATGACATGTTCATTTGCGTGGAGCATCGCGCGTTGGCTAACCATGTTGGGCCAAGACTATCGGTGGCTTGTTTTTCGGCTCCACATCATCCATCGGAAAAGACGTACGCCCCAATCAAGGACTTGTAATCAGAAGATAAACCTCCTGTATACAGGGAAACTACAGTGAAAGACTTCATTGCCTACTACAATTCTAAAGGACTCGGTGGCAACTCTGCTCTAACACATTTCAAGTTGAAGGGATAGCCAAGAAAATGTATGGTGAGAGACTAGATTGAAACATTGTTCCAAGTAGATGTATGATCAGATTGTATTAACAATAGGATTGGAGCCTCAAGTGAGCTGATCATGTTGTAAGAATGGGTATATTATGAGAAGTCTATTTTTCACAAAATGATCAACTGGGTATTACTGGAAGAAGGCCTTTTTCTTGTATTATATGTATACACTTGCTTTTATCTTTATTTGGTTATGGCAGGTTGATTTCTGTTTTTTTAGTTCAAGGGGCAAGTCTGTTCAAGTCATTTTATGCGTATTTTAACTAATTTTTTTTTGATTTGGTCATAAGCAGGTTTTCTACACGAGATATAGGATATTTATGAAGAACAAATCTTTTATGGTATGGGTCCAAGAGATTGTGACGATTTCGAACTCAAGACGTCTAAATTTATGGCTTGTCCTTAGTATTATGATGGTGCTGATTAACGTGGGTGAACAGAGTGTGTAGGACCAAAGGTGAATTTAGGCTACCAACTTCATAATGACAATAAAGTGTTTCTTAGGGGATAGGAGAATTTACATAGTAGGAATATAGTGGTTCACCGACTCTAGAGTTCGGCTAATCCACTCTCTAATGGAGACTCTCGCTCCTTTTTGTCTCTATTGACTACTGGAATGTATTATAATACAATGCATGATCTAATTAGGGTTCTTCTAAGGTCCTCCTCCACGATGAGACGTCATATAGTATTTATAAGGCTACTCCCTATTCTGTGAGATTTTAGCCGAGATCTTTGCCTATTATTCATGGGATCTTCCTTGATTTTAGCAGAGAATCTTGATTGGTTGAGAGTTTCATATATTGGGCTCAATTTTCGCGGTCATCCAACTGTTTCCTGGTCAGTTTTGTTACGATCTCCCCAAGAGGAGCTTTACCCTTGGTTCTCTGAGTTCTCCGTGTTTTTCTTGATCTCATGACCTGAGCTCACAGCTAGGACTTGTTTGAGGTATCATCAGTTGTGCTCCAACCCCTGGTTCAAGTAGGCTTGGGCAAGGGTTGAGTTGTTTTTTAAATTGAGCTGGATCTGCACGCGACTGACCTTGGCTTGCACGTGAGTGAGGCTTTTTTAACGATTTTCAGCAATCATGATTTTCTCGTTTCCCGCACACGTTCCAGCCCACGTCTCTCAAGCTTTAAATGCTCAAACGGCTATCTGAACCGCCCTATTCCACTGTTCAACTTCTCTGCTGCTTCTCTCTTCTTTGTGATTTCCTGGCTTTCTGGTTTGGAGTTCTCTTATTCCTCGTTCAAGATCAAGTTTTGTGGGTTCGATTTGAAGATTCGCATTGCTCTCTTTCTTCCATTTCGTTCTATGCTGCTGTTCTTTGCTCTTTCTTACCTAGGTACGCCCTTTTGTCCCTTTTTCACCTTTTCTCATTCTGGATCCCTCAAATTCGAGGTGGCCATTGTATTTTTGGGCTTTTGGATTTTTTTATTTTTGAAATCGAAATTATTGCTTATCTCATCTCCCCTACTTCGTAGACTAGTCTTCTATCGTGCAAATCCTTGTTGTTGGAAGCTACTGCGTTGACCCTAAGGTTATCAGGGAGTGCTTAATTAGTATTCCTCGTCTTTACCGTTCTTTCAATTTGCTTTTCTCTTGTCCAGTCATGTCTACTCCTTTTGTAGCTACTCGCTCCTCTGCTTCTCTCTTAGGGAAAAGGTCTGCCGAATAGGACACTGATTTAGGGGATGTGGGTGAGAAAATCGATAATTTTCTCAGTGTAGATGCTATCGATGCTGAGAAAAATATTGAGGAACCACCCCCATCATCGTCTATTGTGCCCCCTAATCCTAACAAAGGTAAGGGTAAGGTGAGTGGGATAGGAGTCTCTGACAGTGCAACAGGCACAAGGGTTGCTTTTAGGCATGCTGAGCTCGTAGCTCCCAGTGAGGTTGACTCTCCTCTTGTAAAAATTCTCAATGCTCGTTACGATTTTTCTCCTGGTGTCCAGCCCTGGTGCCCAGATAAATACACTCTATATGTTTCCCAAGTTCATAAGAAAGTATGTTTCTTTGTGGCCACTTTTGAGAATGGCCTTCGCTTCCCTATGCATCCCTTCATCAAGAGTGTTCTGCAACATTTCAACGTCTGCCTTGCTTAGCTCTCCTCTAATTTCTGGAGTGTACTTGTGGGTCTTCTTGTTTTATTTAAGATACATGGGGTCGGGGTCCCCAACCTTTTCCTACTTGTGGATCTTTTCAATGTCAAGCTCACCTCATCAGAGGGCTTCTTATATATCTCCAAGCGAACCACGGCTAGGCAGATCATTACTCACCTCCCGAGCTCCCATAAGAGTTGGAAGAAACAATTCTTTTTTGTTGGGAGCACCAACTAGGAGTACAACCCTACTGACAGGACTGATACTCTGGGTATCCCTAGAACTTGGTTCGCCCCTGATAACTTAGGTAAGCCCTTGCTCGAACTGATTGAGCTCTGGTTTGAAAATTATTGAGTTGCCTTTTTGACCTTTGCTCTCCTTGTGTTATTTTTCAGGCATTTGACCAGAGCTTAGTGCTGAGGACGAGAGGGTGAAGCGAAAGTTGGAGAAGTGCAATCCAGAGAAGTACTCCGAGCTAATCAAGCCCTAGGTCTTAGTAACACAGGGTTCAGTCCTCCTGAGGTATCAATAAAAACTCCACTCCCAATCTCGGTTGTTAGAACTGAAGACATAGAAGGTAACACTTCCTTAGTTGGTTCCCTTGCCTTCCCTTATTTTTCCTTTCTCCTGTTTAACTTGTTTGGTTCAAATCTCCCAAGCTCCTCCATAATGAAATCTATCCTTGAGGAACTCTAAGCTAAGGTTGACTTACTGAAGAAGAGTAGGAAAAGTGGTAAATGGAAGGCTGAGACTAGTTCTGGAGGCAGCCTCGCTGACAGGGCTAAAATGCAGAAGTTGGGAGTACCCTCATCTCTGGCCTTGAGCAAAGAAGGACTAACTCCCTCATCTCAATCCCCGCCCCCTTTTCCTCTTTAAGGGGCCCAATTTGCCCCTAAAAAGGCTTTTGAGCCAAGGTTGGCTTCCCCCACCTCTTTTGAGGTTGAGGGAGCCTTGGGGCTGGTTACTGGAATTCAGCCAGACTCTACACCCCTTAGGCCATCTGAGCAAACATCCCAGCTGCTTCTCCGGAGTCCTAAAGTCGAAAAGAAGGAGGGTCAGGAGACTGATGAAGACTCCTTCGACAATGCTGAGTTGGCTACCAGGGTCATTTCATCAATTCTCCCTGAATCCGATATTCAGAGGGCCTCTACCATGCCCCCTAAGGCCTCTTTCTGCTCAGCTCTCCAAGAAGCAGCCACTGTGAGCATTTTTACACTTACTCTTAGCTCGGTGCGGTTATATTATGCTAATCTATACCTGTTTCCATTTTTATCCACAAATGGCTCTTCATTTGAAGAACTTGATGGGTAGGGTTCGATCTTCGGAGAACTCTGTCAAAGCTTTGAAGACATACGAGTTTAAGGTCGCTGAGCTGACCTTTGACAATGAGAGCCTTAGAGCTCAGGTGCAAAAGCACGAGGAGCAAATGGAGAAGCAAGCTTCTGACTATAAAGGCCTTTAAGCTGCTAAGGATAGGGCTGAGGAAAGAGAGAAGAAGGTCAGGGATGAGCTGAGGATGACCAGGGAAGAGCTGCTACTCAAAACCAATGCTTGGACCAAAGCTAGCCAGGAAGCTTTCGATGCTCGGTGTTCCCTCGAGAGCTTTAAAAAGGAATATGTTATCCAAACTGAGGCGAATGAGAGCTTATATAGTGAGCTCGAGGTGCAGAAGACAATTACCAAGGAGAAGGATGTATAATAGCCGAGCTAAAGGATGATGTCACCACCAAGTGGGCCTCAGGATGGCTGGCCTTTCAGCGCAAAGCAGAAAATGCCTATCCAGACCTTGACTTCGACTTTGCTATCCCTACTGAGGAGGAGCTGGAGGAGACTAACTCAGAGGATGATAATAACCCCTTGGCTCTTGTCGTTTCTACTGTGGCTTCAGAAGGCACTGAAATGTCCTCTCCTGCAGTTGCTGTTATTAATACTTCCCTCTCTGCTAACCTCGTGACTGAGGCCCTTGCCCAAGATTTGCCAATAGCTAGAGCGGAGGCTCCAGGGACCAGCAACCCTGAGAATTCTGCTCCTCTGTCATCTAGGTTCTTATCTTCTAA